AAAGGGGCCGGGCATAGTCTGACCAAGCAAAAAAACGTCAGAATAGTCAAAAAAGAAAACCATGTATACCAAGAGAGCCGTAGAACCACAACAATCTTTCAACTGTTGTTGTCCACAACAGCGATATGATTTTACACCTAGAAAATGGGGATCAGAAGTGTACATCGAAATGTACACTAAATACAGTTATCCCGGCCAGCAATTGAGTTATCAATCTTATTGAGTGATGTAACTGGTATTTCCATCTATTTGCTTCTATTCCCACTATACTTGACACGCTCAAGTGAGTGTTGTATAATTCGTGGTTGTGCGTATTTGTGCCGTGAACATTGCTACAATCAAATACGTGCTGTACAGGAAGTCCATTCTAGGCTAGTACCATTGTAATTTTTTGGAGAGTAAGGGACTATTTAAACTGGCGACTCTTCAGTAAGGAATTGTTAGAATTGTTCGATTGGCATATTGAAATATTTCATTTGAACAGAACATGCACTATATTCATCAAAAACAATGTTATGTTTCTAGACACGCAACAAACTTGAAATGGTCAGATCCAAGTGACCTGCATCCTTGATAATCAAGACATTGATGCCAAATACAAATACAATACTGTATTTTTCAATGGCTTGAATAAATAAACCCTGGTCTTGTTCAATCACAATACTGTATTCCATGGCTTGAATAAATAAAACCCTGGCCTTGTCCAATCACAATACTGTATTCATTTCAATGGTACTGTAGTATAATACAACTTGACAATAACCATGTGCTAATAACTTGTGTGTAACTGTGTGCCCTCTCTTACAGTCACCATGGCTAGCGCCAATATACAATATGTTTCAAAGTGGCCCTTCAGTTGGCAAAGAGAAGCATATACTGACTCCTGGAATATCAGTTGAAACTGTGAAACTACCAGGAATAGGAAAATGCAGCCTTTGGGACATAGCAGGTCAATCTCATTATTACGTGTCGCATTCCATGTTCTTTGATGCTGATAAAGCCACATTTGTTATTGTGTACCAAATTGTTGGTTACGAGAAAACAAGTGATGGATATGAACTTATACGACCAATGATCATGAAGCAAAAATCCATGGATCAGGTAATTGGAATATACTTGATATTTCAAAGTTTTCCTATTTAGTCATCCCACATTAATGCTAAAATCATGCATTCTGATATTGTTTATAGTTCCTGTATATTTGTACTTCAAAAATTTGCTCCATGTCCAAAACCGCTCAACATTGAGCCTGCAAGAGTTATCACATGATTTGGCAGCTATTTGAAATTGAAGGTTCATTATTCAGTTCCGGATATGATGTCCATCATTTCTTTGTTCAGATTAGATTGAAAATGGCTAACTAACAAATTTATTGTAAATATATATCACACAGAAGCGTATGTATATATCTAATAATCAATTAAAAATGTCCAAATATTGGTCATTTTAGTGCTAAAAGCATTTTTGCCATTCCACAACTGAATCTCAGTCATGCATGGACATATTTCATTCAAAATTAGTATATGCTTTGAACATAATATGTCCTTGTTGCACCTTTCAAAATGGCATTTTTTTAATGATTGCTTTTTAGGAGCCATATTGCTATTATGGTTGGACTAATCATGTTCAAACTTAACATACACATCAGATCAGATTGAAATGGATGACTGGCTGGCAGTTATTTTGCTTTTAATGAATGCTGTTTTTGGAGCCATATTGCTAACATGACTGGACTAATCATGTTCAAACTTCACACATACATCAGATCAGATTGAAATAGCTGACTGGTTGGCAGTTATTTTGTTTGTAATGAATGTTGTTTTTGGAGCCATATTGCTAACATGACTGGACTCATCATGTTCAAACTTCACACATACATCAGATCAGATTGAAATGGCTGACTGGTTGGCAGTTATTTTGTTTTTAATGAATGTTGTTTTTGGAGCCATATTGCTAACATGGCTGGACTAATCATGTTCAAACTTCACACATACATCATGTCAGATTGAAATGGTTGACTGGTTGGCAGTTATTTTATTTTTAATGAATGTTGTTTTTGGAGCCATATTGCTAACATGGCTGGACTAACCATGTTCAAAATTTACATAAACATTGTGTAACACGTTTGTACATGGCTGATTGTCATTTTTACTCAAAAAATAAACTGGTTCCACTTTATATCATGTAACGGTCACTTAAAACTGGACTGGGAATTGATCACATAGTACAGATAATTCTATTAACCACCAAAGATCGGATGTTTTGGTTAAATATCTGTTTATGATATTCAGTTACAATATACTACTGTATATTAATCACATGCCTTATCAGCTTTTGAATGGTAACATCAGGCAAAAGTATAACTTCTCAATTTATTCACAAATGTTGTATGTCATGAGTAATTTTCTGTTTATCTATAGGTGACATTTTGGTTGAAGTTTTTACGGAATTTATCCATTGACCATCCATTGATACTTATTGTAGCCAGTAGAGCTGATTGGGTTGGCCAGTGGAAACATGAAGGTAAATCAATTGTAAATTTCATTATATATGTCTCTGGTCTGTATTTAACTTGTGCAATGCATATGTTTTACTTTTATTAGATCTACTGTGATAATAGATGACAGAGCGGAGCTGTTTATATAGGTTATTGTCTGCCCGTCCATAATCTAGCAACAATTGCACTTGGGTAGCCCTCTGTCAGATTGGTTCATTTCATGACAATATCTTTAGTTCACTAATTTGGTGATTAATACCTTTGCATTGATACTTGGTGTCAAATTGAGCTGGCAGATTTAAAAAAGGAATCGTATGTGTGTGCGTTGCTTGACTTGGCTACCACAATGTTCTTGTTGGACAACAGAGCTATGTCGACCGTCAGGTCGCTTGTTTGTTTTAATGTAATTTTTAAGCTGCCATTTTTGGACAGTGATTTATAACGTAGCAAAAAGTGCATAAGCTGCCAGTGGCAATGCCTCATGTGCGAGTTTGAATCCTGTAAAATAAATATTACTAATGTATTGTGTCTGATAATCAAAATCTGTTTCATTACAGCTGAGATTGTTGTCAGTCAGATTCTACAGGAGTGCCTAGATATGATTGAAGATGATCTCAACATCTTAAATGAGTGTTTTCTAATTAACTGCCATGATGTAGGATGTCCTGATATGCAACGTTTGAGAGCAGCATTGTGTACAAGACGAACCTACGTACTCCAGGTACGGTGACTGTGAACATAGTTCTTTTTTAATATGATTTATTTTAGTAGATGATCTAAAATAACAATATACAATGCAGACAGGAGATCTGCAAGTGGTCATGTAAATATCGACATATATATAATATGACGCAAGCCAATGTTTGTTATTTTCACAAGTGATGCAGTGTGTCCTATAATGAGTGAAAATACAGCATGGATACATATGTTTTCAGGAAATCAACAGGAAGTTTAAATTTAATGGACTTACAACAGAACAAAGCTTCTCAAAACAAAATACAATACACCAATCCACCACAATTGCGTGATAAGACACGATGAGCTTTTTAAAACATCACAATCAAAAAATAAATGTGGATTTCATGCATCAAACCCAGACATGAGCAAACAAATAAAAAAAAAGTAAACTAGTTTTGACTCGTGTGATTTACATATTAATCAATGAATAACATACAACTACTGTTGGCATAGACAGATTCACTGTCCTAGAACCAATTTGGTAGAATTTCCAATGTTCTGTAATATTCATATTCAATTATTTTAAATGCACATCTGAAAGCATCCCGTAGAATGCTACATAAACACACAATTAATAAACATGTTGTTTTTTGTTGTTGTTTTTTGCTCATTTGCATATTGACAAAGAGAACTTTTTAAGGATTCAACACAGTAAACTGCAGTACATATGTAATGATACGTTTTATTATGCATAGTCTATGCTATGTCATAATGTAATAATTTATGCATATACTATTTCCAATAGAACATACCACGAATGCCAAGGATATGTACACAAATTTTGAAGACTACACGGAAATGGGTTGCAGTGAATATAGACTTTCCAGTTATGGATTGGACACGTTATCTGGGGTTTATAAGAGACAATGTAGATGCTTTGGTCAAAGAAGACTTTTTAAAGAAAGCAACCAATTATCTTCATAACAGTGGTGAGGTGAGTTGAACTACAATGAAATACGATACTTTTATAATGTGTATTTTAATTTACAAACTCCTTTTCTCCAATTGGTAATAAAGAATCTATCCAAATTGATAGGATGTAATTCAAATGCCAAATTACAAACAGCAATACATACTTTAAACTGTGATATCTGAGGTATGTAAATGTGTCGAAATGGGCGTCGTGCGAGTGGTTAGTACTAGTAGCACTAATCCGAAAAAGTACTAGATCTAGTGCTAAAATGGCACTAGATCTAGCGCTAAAATGGCACTAGATCTAGCGCTAAAATGGCACTAGATCTAGTGCTAAAATGTACATAGTGCGAGTGGCATTGATATCACGTTGTCAACGACGTCGAAACATCCCGTAATTGTCCGAAAATATATTAATATTTACGTAAAATTCATTCATTGGAAATGTGCTGCAGTGGGAAAATTGAGAATGTACAGGAATGTCATTGTCCACGTTTGTCGTAATAGACCTTTGAAACAACGAGATCGGCCGGGAAACTAGCTCCATGGACAGTGAAACTGCAGGTCAAACTTCGCAATTTTTACAAATTGTGAATAGATACACTGTATGAAATGGTATTGTGTGGAACTTTGTGTTTTCAGCTTCGGTGTATGTAAACTTGTAACTTGTATGTAAATGGTGGAATTCAGCGTTGATTTTTTTTAAATCGCTGACGTGCCGTTTTATTTCTAGTCGGCGCCAAACTCAATGAAAATAGATCTTCAATGAAATTATGATGCCATATATCAACTAAATAAAATTTTGTCTACTCCTGGTCTAAGTCCCGGGTCCCTGTAAGGCTCGGTGGATTTTGTCTGTACGGCGACCTGTGAATGGGCATGTTGTTCATCAGTACCGCTGAGAACCAGACAGAAAATGAACCGTTGTCTGGTTGTCATGACATTGACCTTCGCGGGCATAATCAACCAATGGTAAAAGTGGATTCACGCAATCCTGTTGTTACATTGTACCATGGAGGTACTAATTGAAGGAGCCACAACGCCTCTTAAGTGGCTTATTTCCTCTTCTTTCAACCAAAGTTAATCCTAATAAGGACATTGTCTAGCTCATCTTTGATGTCGAAGATAGTTTGCGATTGCTTACACAAGTAACCAGTTAGCGGAATATGATATACCTCGCCGATTTCTTAACCATATAATATATGTCTAGACACTTTCTCAGCAATAATATTTTTTAGGAGTCCTTAGGATTTTTTTTCTAGACTCTCGAAATCTTGTTCTTGTTCTTGTTATAGCACAGGGAGCCAGGAACTATAATCAACTGTAATACGCAGTCTCTATGAGCGGGGGGGGGGGGTATCGGCTGGTATCTAGTGTAAGAAATAGACAAGGGATGAAGGCTCCAGC